GAAATTGTTAAGGAAAGAAAAAGGTTTTCTTATCTGAAGGCTTAAGCTTTGATCCTCCATTAAATACAGGTAATCTTTATCAGAATTAATCACTTTTTAATCGCCCTAATTTACCTGTAGTACTGAATTGGAAAATAACTTCTTTTTACGATTCTATAAAATTGCTTTCTTTTGTAGGAAATGTAGGTGGCGTGCAATTGAAAAGGTTTTTGTGTTTAGATTGACATTACATTTTACAGTTGTTAAAGCTTGCATACAGGAACTAAAACAATTTTACATATTAACGTTTACCGAAGTCTTAAGTAAGACTAACATGTTCTTGTAAACTAAAAATAATATAACTGTTTATTACCCAGGTCTATCTAAAACAAAAATTATAGAAAAAGTGGCACGATATCATACCCATGAAATGGCAGCGCATGTCCGTAACGTAATCTCGGAAGTTCTGTTCATGTAGATATGTAGGCGACGGTCATGCTTACCATCATATTAGAGTTAATAATTCCATAAAAAACGATTACATAAAAAAAGATATGTTTTTAATACCATCTTTATAAGGTGATTGTGAAGTTTATTTACTATATACGGAAAAGAATATCAATATAGTATGTTAATGTTAGCAATACTGTATTTATTTATCACAATTACTTAACGTAAAAATCTTTTTGTTCCACGCATTTGTTTTTTCGCACAAAGTATAAATTTAAACTAATGGTAAGACCACAGATTACCTAATGGTTACAAAGTGAAACGTTATTTCTTAGTTAGCACTGCTTTTGTTTCAGGTGTAAGGACTAGAAGAAGTAAAACAAGATGGCGGCCTTCGTAGCCAAACAAATGGTGGGAAATAAGCTGAGCGCTGTAAAAGGTACGTAGAAATATAAAGAAAAAAATTATTTTCAATTTAATTGTAATTCTTTATTATCAACTCTACACTTTAGGAAAGCATTTCTTAATATTTTGTTTGTTAGATGTTTCACTATGACATTATTTATATTATGTTCAGTATGACCTTAAAGATCTTTCTCAAATTATAAGAATATTTTGATAAATCATGGTTTAATCCTAAAATAGACATAAAACCATGACTTTATTATTCAAAAAGGCAATGAGAACATGTATTAATGACTATCATCTATTTGATTACGTAATTACCTACTGCCATAACATAATCATAAAATAAACCGATATTCCATGTGTCCTTCATAACTCATTGCTAGTTACTTGACAATCATTTATTGATTCAATATCAATAGTAGATATTTATTGAATTAAACATTCAATAAGGTAATATATTTCAAAACTGAACAACATGTTGGCTATAACAAAATAATTGAGTTTTATTTTACACCTGTAATATAATGACAATTCATTAGTTGTGCAGATAAAACAAATATTGTTTTGCTGCGGTTTCCAATTATTATAGAAGACGTGGAATAATTAAACAAAAGTGTTTCGGTAAATTTATATCAAAATATTAGAACTTAATTGTAAGTAGGTATATAGCTGTTACTCACTACTTCACCTACTTTTAGGTTATGTTTAGAAATGAATGGTAGCTGTAGCTCATACTTGTGATACAATTTATCTTAACATAAAGTTTTATCAAAATCTGTTCAAGCCATTTACTATTGAAAAAATAAGAACCAGACAAACATATGTTCTGACTATATAATATTAATGAAAATAAATCATATACCAATGAAGCAATAGTCAGATATCAAAACATTATATACCTACATATTTTATTCAAAAAATATTTGATTCGTAAAAATATTCATAAAGGTACATACATAAAGGTACAACATATTTTTAGGTGAAATAGTTTCGTTATTACTACCTAAGCAATCTTTATAATATATCATTGTACAAACGAACGATACTCCAGCATTTTAATTCAAAACCAACACTTTTTAAATTGCTCGTAAGTCGGCTATAACAAGGGCGTGAGTTGCGACGATTTGGCCAATCAACCAAGTATGATACTTCGTAATATTGTGATTTATCTTATCGAAAATCCAAAGGCAGAGGTCGGAAAACAGTGGTTTGGGGAATGGTAACCTTTGTGGTTTTACGCCTGTTTTTAAATGTAAACTACCCATTATTTGATGCCGGCAGCACTTTGAAATATTTAATCATTATCCTATACATAATTATTTTTAAACTATTTTTTAATTAGGTCACATCTCAAATAGATTAGTTATTAATTTTATTACCAGTAAAGTAAAGAGTGCTCTTTTTTTTAAAGCTCCAACATCTAGAATGACTGCTTATGTAATAGGTATTTCTGCTAAATACAAAATCCAAATTTAATGAAGAATATTATTATATATATTTAAATATATGAGTTAATAATTCTAAAATAAATTCTACGTTTGGAACATTTAACAGATCTCTAAATTATCTTAAAAATATCGTTACCTTAATAGTAGATTATTTTGTAACGCCGCTATACTTATATTAAAATCATCTCTTAACAAATTTTTAATAAGTACGAAACGTGAACATCGTACAGTTATTATGGAACAGTAAATTCATTCTCATTATTCTCATTCATTATAATGAATATTCTTCACTATAAAAATAAGTAACTGAATATATTATACAAGCCTTGATCATAATAAGAGATATCGGCGTAGATACCTAAGTAAAAATATTTCCATTATATTGGCACAAAGAGTTCTCAGCAAATAAATTGGAATCAACTAAGTGTGATACCCACGCAGAAGGAGGGTTCCGTAGTAAGTATACGCATTTTTAGGCATAACAGTCTATTATGTTTTTCTTCATAATTACTGCAGATAATTGTAATCTATCACATCATATCATCATAGGTGTTGAAAAACTTTAGTTTACTTTTACCAGATATACAACAAAATATACAGTTTAATCAAACGTTGTACTCTATCTTTTACGTCTTAATCGGTAATTTAAAATGTGAATTTTTATGATAAATTTCAAAAGATAAGACAATTTATTTGTATGAATATATTTTGGTTTCAAATATAAATAAAAAAATTAAGGGAGACATAGGTTTACATAATATCCTATTTTATTACTTACGGGTCAATATTATATGGTATGTATTAATTTTCAATCATATTCGTGATACCAAAGGCATGATTGAATGGGAAACATCAATTGATACAAATTTTCATATTTTATAATGTTATTAAAATTTCAACCACCCTTATTACAAGTTAGTTCTAATCAATTCTTGAAGACTTCTTGCTAGTGATAAAAACTGTCTCGCCGATAGAGTCTAAAACTATTTACAAGTAGGTGACCCCCGAGACTTCGTATGTATCACATTTATCATTATATTTCGTCCAATTTACATTATATATTTTAAAATTATAAGTTATGTTGTATAAGCTATAATACTTGTAAAGATTCATCAAAACCCATTAAGTACAATTTTTACGTGAAAAAGTAACAAATATCCATCCATCCATACTCACATTTTCACGTTTATAATATTAAGAATATTTTGTAGATACTATTATTCACCATTTATCACGTTGACAACAGTATCCGTGCTGAAGCTTTCATAATTGGACCCTAAAAGCAGCCATTTTAAATCCCCCACCATCTCATCCCCTGCTAAGCGTTTAGCTGTAAATTTCCCAGGGGCACTGGGTTTAATTCTGGAACGGTTACAGTAATACTAATGTGACGTCGTAATTAATATTTTTCACAATTTTATTCGGTTTTTAGGAAAAACAATATTTTGTTCCACTTTATATTTCTTTTTAAATGTAATATTTACATAAACTGTATGTTTGTTTGTTACCTTTTTACGGCTGAACGGCTCTTATGAAATTTGCGTGATTGATATCTTTTTATAATTTAAAAAAAAACCCAATTGAAATCGTATTATACAGCTAGCATACCCATATGAAAATTTACAATGCCTCATTTAAGTCTCTTTAAAAACATATATAAACATACATAATGTTTTATGTAATGAAAATAATATGAATGAAACAATAGATTATTATAAAATAATTGAAATATAAAAGATTGAAATATAAAAGAAGTTTAAGAACACAACAGACATGACAGGCGGCTCTATACAGCGAATGGTAAATATATTAGTCTCAGGACTACAACTTGATTTATGAAACGAAACTAAGTGCAAATAAGATTTCGCAACAACACACACTCCATCTGTATAAAATATATTCTAAAATTCATAACACTGCATTGAGGATTCCATTTAATGAGTTTTGAGTCGAAATTGTTGTTATTAAAAAAAGAAAATCAGTCATTTCATAAACACATTTATTTTACAATTTTTATTTTTAAACTTATTTGTAATTAGGTATTTACATCTATTAAATTTAATTAACAATTCACGAATACATGAATGTAATATAAGTAGGTATAATTATTATTTAATCTAGTGGGTACTTAATATAGTTAAATGAATAATTAGCATTTCGTACACTACATATAAATTCTATTCTTCTTAGCACGAAAATTCATTTATTTCAGTTGGAAGCACTTGTTACATATTATTTTATTATTTAACTATCACAATAACGGTATATTATTTAATTAAAATAAATATTCCACATTCTTCTCAATATAAATATATTTATTTAGTAAGAGTAATTATTTCAATAAAAATATTAATACGACAAGACTCATACCAATTACGTGTAAATATTGAATGCTCATTAATTTTAGTATTAAATTTCAATATTCATTTTAATTTATAAACTAGCATACGATATTAATATTAAATTACGTTAAGCTTTCATATTCATGCATTATGTTTTTAATAAATAACGACTACTATAGTCGCATCGATTAAACTTTACTATAATTTTAGCAACTACATGAATAATGATTGAGTCTTAAATTTAATGGAGAGAATGTAAATTTATTTTAAATGAAAAAAACAATTGAAAATTAAATTACGACCAGTTCTATTTTAAATTAACAAGATAATCAATAAAATAGTAAGTTATTATAAATACATAATAAACTAGATTTGTAGTAAATTGCGTTATTTCTTTCCATTTCCACGACTTCTTGTATAACCTTATGCTGTGAATGTCTAATGCTATGTGATTGATTGAATTTGCATTTCAAATTCATTAGTTACAATTCCAGTAGAATCTAGCGGTTTACGATCATAGCTTCCAGTTATTATACAAACGAATTTATAATAAAGAAATTCGGTTGGATCATAGCTTTGTATATTAAAGCCTTGCATTCAATTAGCTGGCAACAAAATACTTATGTACAGGGTTGTCGTAAAGGATATATCAAGCCAAAAAGTTCAATTCAATTCAATTTTGAATTTTATAAAATCTGTTTTATGAAAATTATTACCATACCTTGCTACTATATATAAATTTAAATAAATATGAGACCTATATACCCTATCTATTTATATATATATATTATAATATAAATAAATTTGAGAGAATGCCACCCAACTTTGCTCTTTTTAAATTGAATTCAGCTTGAAAACTCGACATCCATTGAATACTCCTTATTGTGAAACAAACTTATTAACACTTTTTTTCTAATCCCACCGTTCGTATCTGGACTATATCCAGCTCTCTCGCACTCAGTTACATATGCTCTTTTTATTTTTTCACAAGAATCCGGGATTAGGTTTTGCTTCCTTTTTTTACACCTCCTATTTTGATCATTATTACGTCGTATGAATGTATCTTCGTTGCTGTTGTGTTCAGATAATGGAGAATGGAATAGCTTTTTGCTAATTGGACGTACATTCGGTTTCCTTATTGGCGACTGTGTTTCCATCTGAAAATATAGAATTGTTATTTTTTATCGATTATAATGTAACGATGCACCCGCCTGCGGTAACGGTTTACGCTGGCGGGGCACCAGTAGTAGATAATAACATGAACATGAGATCAGGTCAGGTAGTCCATCTTGTTAAATGGTAATTTACCAAGATGACTCGCTGGAGGAACCCCTTGGTGGTCAACCTGACATGGTATATTACTAGCAATGGTGTTATTAGTCCACATTATAAACAATCCCCTTCCGCCCTTTATAGGGCAGTATTTTTCGAACACAATTATTTGTGTTCGAAAAATACCATGTTCAAAGAATAACAACATATTATATCAAAGAATGTAATTGTACTGAAAAGAGTAAAGTTTATACCAAGGTTTACAACATTCTTTTGTTTTTTAATTAGAAATACCTAATTATCGAGTAATAAACAACATCGACTAAATGTAATACGAATTCGTGCAAATCTATATTATTATGCGTAGGTATTCATTAGCGAAAGCATGTTATGAATTTCTTAGAGGCTGTTCATGTATATTCTAGATTATAGATTGGTCCAGATTATTAATATCAAATAGCTAAGATATTATTGTAAATTTATATTGTTAGATGATTTGTACAGAATATTCCTATCCATAATTCTACAAAGTATTTATTACTCGATAAACCGTATTGTTTCTAATTAAACATAATTTTAACCCAATATGAATAACAATTTTATGTAAACTATAGTATACCTACATTTAGACAATATTTGTTAGGAAGACTTTATGAAAAATATTGAACTCACCGCTTCACAGTCCGAAGTAAACTCTATAGAGTCATTCATTATATTATTTGTAATTAATACTGTTAATGTCTCCCTAGTAATAGTGTTCACTGGTGTCGAGAAAGCGCTGGTTGCCATTTTTTTTGTGTAGCAGGTAGATTTTACAACTGGTTCCAACACACGCGTGTATTCGATAAGAAGGTCTGTTTTTAACTGGTAGTGGTTGACTATGCTTGGATACGGGATGATGACTGGTGTGGTCAGTTTTTATCGTTATAGGGAGGGACGTAATGGATAATATCGATGTTTGTCAAATTCATAAAAAATATTATAATCAGAATTTACTCATATATGATCGCATAATATGTACGTTACGTTACATTACGCAAACTAAGTGTAGTTTAGTTTTCCATATATGTAGCTATTTATATATAGGTACTTATAGATTACGGTTACATCAGAATTAATTTAAAAAATATAGTGAAAAGCCGGTGTTCTTTTCGGTATGTAGTATTGAGGGTCTTATGCTAGAGGGTCTTATGCTAGATGCTAGCGCATAGGTTGATCCGTTGTTGCTACTGTTGATGACCATTGAATACCATAACAGCTTGTTTTTTTGTATAATACATAAATACAATCTTATTCATTAATATAATATGTCATTCGGATTACATATATCTGTAACAGATTATACTATTGAAATACTATATCCTGAGTTAATAAATATAACAAACACATGGTTTGTTTTATTTAAAACTATAGCGATAGTCTTCCTGTTTTTTTTTCTCAAATATCCTCTAAAAACATGTAATAAATATAAAAATAAACATTTTGTTCTATGGCAATAAAATTATATCAATTGTCTGCGTAAGAAAAGTCTCAAATAAAATATGACATAACTAACTACTCATATTTAGTCGATAAATATTTATCGATGTATACTAAAATTAGCACTTGGCAGTCTCTTTTATAGATAAGTACTTACAATGCTACCTGTAGAGGGATCGGCTGGTGTAACTTTAGCTTTGTTATTTGGTCCATTCTGCTCTCTCGAACATAACGGTAGGCAAGTATTCCGTGAAATAGGATAATAAAGCTATATATAGGCATTTAAAAAATGCTGTGAATTTATTATTTTCGTTTCCTGGCATTATTTTTATTTTTATTTTAATACATATTTGTTACCAAAATAATAAATAGTAGAAGTAACGTTATAAGTTATAATATATATAAATATAAAGCTATAAGTCGTTTAACTTACTGAGATGGGTATTACAAGTTATGTATTTTATTAATATTAGTAGTTGTTGATTTTCATTAAAAGAAAATATTCAATACCAATTATAATTAGATCAGATTATTTTATTATAATTTTATTAAAAGTTCATATCGAGATAAAACAAGAAACTATCAAAAGGACTTTATTCACTCATATACCTGTCTATCTTCAGATCAAATTCTTTGCAGAGTAATTTGTAGATTTTCTATACATAAAATAAAGGACTAAACAAGGACCAAATGCCTCGTTCGTTCGTTCGTTCGTATACAATTCTCCTAGTCTGAATATTAAAATGCACATATAAAGTTAAATTCATAGTTTTGATAAATTAAAGTTCCTCAATTTTATTATTGGAATTTGAATAAACTCACTAAGTTCATTATAATGGTGTATTCCACTACACAACACTATTTATTTACAACTACTATTTATGTAGTAAAAAACAAATATAATCGTGGTCATACTTACCCAAAATATTTATTATTATTAAAACACTTTTAATAAAAATTACACGACATTACAGTAAGAATACACAATGTAAAATTAAAATCGTATTTCATTTACCACTAACAACCGGCGATAAATACCATTGTCAAGAAATTCATAAAATTATAATTTCATTATTACTCCATTCAGTATTATTAAACATCTAAATAAAACATTTTACTAATGGAAGTAAAAATTATGAGTACAAAAATTATTATAAAATGTCAAATTAAATTTTCTATGCATAGTATTATGTCATCATCATCTTTTTTATATTCTCCTATGTCTGGCTACTTCGTCTACATTCGTAAATTGTGAAAAAAAATCATTTTCTAATCCTCGGAGATCAATCTTGGTGTTACTTTGTAGTAAACTTTCTACAGATCTAGACTTTTTCTTTTCTTTACAAGTAAAATTATCCACAGCTATTAAAGGCGAATACGAAAATGTTTTATTCATATTCCAAGATTTTTTCTTGTGTTTCAAATTAAAAGATTTAAAAAATTCAGCACAATTGTTATTCAATTTTGGTATTTTTGGCGATGTATTCTCTTTTTTGCTTTTCATAGTAATATTATTTTCATCAGTTTTAGTTAAAGTAGATAATTCCTTATTATTTCCTTCACTACTATCATAAGTTACTGGAGTAGATTCTAAAAAGTCGTAAGTTTTTGGGTATTTGTGTACGATATTCAATTCGCTTTCCAGCATTTTTCTTTTAATATAAGTTGTTATATTGTACACTGTGTACTGTAAGCCGCATTTCTTTGCATGGTCTTTAAACTCAATAAGGAACTTCTTGAGAGGTATCATTTGGGTTTTGCAATACTGCCTAATGATCATGCTAGCGTCTATAACTTCACCGGCTGTGACGCCATTTTGTCTAGGTAGTTCATTGAAACCTTCCAGTTTAAAAACGCATTGCTCGTTTTTAATTGTTTCTAACTTCTTAATGTGTGACAGCTGGACATGTGCATTTGAATATAGGTTTGGGAATAGTTCTTTTTGATATATTGAAATGGGAGGTGGATTTGTGAACATATGGAATTCATGATGTCTACTCTGTGCCCGCAATTCGGGTGATAGCGTGTCTTCCTAAAAAGTAAATAATTATTGGTTTCGATTAAAATCATAATAAAAATTGTTAGCAAAACAGTAAACTTAGATTTTATCTTCAAATGATTATATAGACAGCTGCTACATCATTATTTTAAACTTTCATGTATATATATTTTTTTAATGTGTCATTCATGTTGATATCTTATTTAATTTTAGTAAAATACAATAATAATGTGCAAATCAAATGGTGATGGTAATATAGTAGATTATTATAGTATTTATTTGTATAAAAAATATTATTTGTGTTATTTTTATGTAATTGGAATTATAAACCATCTGACGATGGTAACTGGCAACATTTGTCTACATATATGAATAACAACACAGAAAACGTTATCATATAACCCCTTTCGTAACAGTCATTTGTCCGGGATAAACTATAAAACTACTTAACTAGTTTCTATGAAATTTGATTCACTATATGCAATTTGGCCTAACTTAAAAGATAAGGTAGTTTTTATCCTAATAATTATGTATACTATATTCCTAATAATGAGGATAGGAAGAAACAACGTTAGCTTAGTCAGTTAGTAGTTGATTATATTGATTATAATTATATACATACCTCTAACAAAAGACTACAGGATACGTAGACTTGACACTTTAGTACTTCTAACGTATAAACGGGTATCACACCACGCTCATAACATGATTACGTAATGTCTGTGGTGCCTATCGTATGTGTGCGCCTTATCATTTTTACTGTTATTTTGTTTAATAATTATTTACACAAAAAAGGACTTAATATTTAATAAATAATAGAAAATACTTTACCATAGCTTCCAAGTAATGGTAGTAATTGCAGACATCTTGGAATTTATTCTTTTGCCCACAATACAGCCACACAATGAAGGCGCGTCTGACCGTCACGTTAGAGTAAGCTAGTGACGGAGGCTCCAACAATGTATGTACATCGTTATAGATAACGTCCAAGGATGGATTCAAAGAAGTCATTACGGCTTATTCTGAAAAACGATTGCCGTGTCATCTTAATCGAACCAGTAGGTATTATATTGTTTTAATTTTGTATCCAATATAAACAATCTAACATCATGTAAATAACAATTGACCCCTGATAGTAGGTGGCATTGGTTTTCTATATAATATTTGAAAAATACTTTTAAACATTAATTACTGCTTACAAGAGGCTAATCATCTTAACCCTCTAGGGTTGTTGCCCCCGGAGTGGAGGCAGGAACAAAAAGGTTTACCCTAGGTTCTAACCTACATCCTCTTCAAAGGATGCGAATAAACCTGTCTGTACGTTGTACATTTTGTGATTTGCCTTTCCTGGGGACTAAGATGTCTTTCCTCTTTACACTGTAGTTATTGTAATACAATGTTATTCGTATAATATGCAATTAAGCGCAATATATGTTATATATTAGATTCTCTATAGGGTACAGAAATATAGATAAGTTAGTATGATAAATAACGACTTGAGAATTAAGTCTTTGCGCTGTGAAGAAGGTGATAACTCAACAGGCAGGCAGACAGTTTTACATTTTTAAGGACATTAATCATAATATTCAAAGATATTAAAATTTAGTTACAATTTATTCCTATTGCAACTATATTATTTTAAGACCTAAATCAATTTAATTATAATAATAGACATCTGTCAATTCTTATATAGTACTATTGTATTCTTTATTTCTTATATATTAATTATATTAACAAAAACAATAATAATTCCAGTTTAAGAAAAGTATTACTTTATGTATTGACTATAACATATCATATCAATAATGAATATAACACATTAACCTATAATTTTGCTAATTACCTACCAACCTCAATTAAAACCAATTAAAATTTAAACACTTACCTTTAACAGTTACAAAATCAAAAGATACACTTAATATCCTTCAATCGAGTTCGTCACAAATATAAACGCAAAATAATTACATACGTAATTTTATGTACAATTATTTTGTAATAATTAAATGTACATTGTAAAATAATGAAATTCCAGTTGAACGTATTGTCTCGAGCAATGCTCGTCGTCAATTAACGAACCTTTTTGAATTTATAGAATAATGCCTCAAGACTACCCTACATTAATTATAACTTTTCTTTTTTAATTCTACCCTTTAAAAGAACATGATGTTGATCATTCAAAAATTAGACTATATTTCTATTAACTTGATTTCCCGTTTTACGTGTTTAGTTCATAAAAATAATGACATTTTTTATTAATAAATAGCAATAATGTTTGTTAAAAAATTACCTAGTACTAATTACTATACCATTAACTAATTTATTTGGTTACGTCAATTTACTTATTCAAATCAAATCTTCAATTTATATTTTTATAA